AAACCTGAATCTTATATGACCTGATGTGAGGCCACTTACTAACATCATTTATGATACAATATGAAAACTCTTACAATTCACATTAGAACTATTAATGGATTTGATTACAGGGCCCTGCCCCAGAACACTCCAGGGAAAATTATTTAATATAACCTGTCTATCTCATACTACCTTCCTAAAATCTAAAAATGTCTGAATTCTGAAACTCTTAAATTTCGGATGAGCAGTTGTGGAGCTAATATAATAGTAACACAGTCTTATATGGTGTTTATCATTTTCCAGGCACATTGTTTTAACTGCTCTACATATAATAATCCCACAACACCCAGATAAGGTAGGTACTATAATTAATCCCATTTTACAGATGAGGACACTGAGGCATAAGGAACCTTCATAGGTAGGAAGTCATGATTCTTAATAAATGTACTTTGCTTTCATAAGAATTACTAAATTAATAAACATTTTTAAAGTCTTGATGTATATTGTCAATAGACTGTCTTCCTAGAATATGACATATGTAGTGACTGAGAACTTCAAGCAGTTTCGTATCATTGCTGCACTGGTTGTAATATATTTTTAAATTTTCGTATTTGGCAAGCAAAAATATTTTTGTGGTTTGTTTTGGTTTTAACTTCCCTTTTGGTATAACGATGTTGAATGTGTTTGCTTATTTTTGTTACCATGTTTGTTTTCCTTTGACTATCTTTTTTTGGACTCTATGCCTAGTTAGAGTTGTGCTTACATATTGGGATATTCCTGTTCTTCATGCTAACCTGCATGGCCTCTCCTAGACTTGTCACTATCAGCCATCAGCCCCAGGATGCTGCCAACTCCCATCTGTGGGAGAGGCTTGGCAACTCTGGTCATGTTCACCTGGAAGAAGTCTCCGTCCAAAGCAGTCAATTCAGAGAGGGATGTTTTCCTACTCTAGCTAATTTCCTTAATTGTCCTCATTCCCTTATTCCTTCCCCTACCCTCACCATTCACTGGGGAACTGACAGATGAATTTTCTGATCTCCCTTGGAATGTTCTCCTAAGAAGAATCCTCTTTCATTGCAGTTTCTCAGAAGTCAGAAATATCCCATAATCTCCAATATTAGTACCTTTTAGAAACTCCAGGCTCTTTGAAGTTTATACTTCTCAGCACTACTGTATTCTACCCATTCTTATCATCTACCACCATCTTGGGCATCCTTCATCATCCAATGAATAAATTTTGTTCATTATGGGAATAACTCATTCCCAACCTCTGCTTTTCTTGGCACCTCTGCTAATCTTTAGCTTTGGAAAGAAAAGCCAAAGCAATTTTTCTTTCTACAAATTCTCTTCAAAAAAAAAAAAAAACCTTTCAAATTTCTAGCAATCTCAGCTGGAGATGACACCAATTCAACTATTTTTCAGCCAGTCCTGCAAGCATGTCTTTCTTTAATATATATGTGAGACATTAATTATTCTTTGTTCTCAGCTATGGATTTTTAAGCAAAATGTTAAGACAAGGAGAACAGTCTCATTAAAAGGCTATTACACTTCCTTACTTCAGTGTTTGCCAGGCACTGCTTTCTCTGTCTGAAATTCTTTAATCCTTCTGCAGTTTTGATCTACACCCGATTAGCTTGCTGGTGCTCTTTCTCCAGGAAACCTCATAGAGGTCACTTCAGAAAGCTTTCCCTGTCACCTCAGAATTACTAGGTGCCTCTACTCCTAGCACCAAACATGTGTTGTTTCCCTTATTCACAGCTGTGTCCCAGCATTGGCACATTGCCTGTCACTGAGGGAGTACTTTATAAATATTTATTAAATTGATTTGAATGGAAAATATTAAAATACTTTGAAGTCAAATGTATCAATCTTTGATGACTGATAATACTTTTAAGCAGTACGCCCTTTCTGGAAATTTAATAAATGTTTACTATTCTTTCTCCCCTAAATTTAATGATCTATGCTTGCTATAGACTGAATTATGCACCCCCTCTCCCACCAAATTCATATGTTAAAACCCTGCTCCCCAATGGGATGGTATTTGGAGATGAAGACTTTAAAGGTAGTTAGGTTTAGATGAAGTCATGAGGGTAGAGCACCTATAATGGAATTAGTAACTTCATAAGAAGAAGAGAGACCAGAGTTCCCTCTCAAGATGCCTGAGGACACAACAGGAAGAGGGCCCTCACCAAGAACTGAATCTGCTGGCACCTGTATCTTGGTCTCCTAGCCTCCAGAACTGTGAGAAATAAATATCAGGTTGTTTAAGCCACCCATGCTATGGCATTTTGTTATAGCAGCCAGGCTAAGACAATGCTTTTTAACATAAAACTATTTAAACAGTGTAGAATACATTAATTTACAGTGTGAAGCTAAGGATAAGTAATTTTTTCTTCCAAATTGGTAATGATGCAGTATCTTTTGTCATGTATTAAATTCTTAAATATATTTATCATATATCCATGCTTGAATGTTATATTTCAAGTTTCAAGTTACTATTTTATATTCTAATATTCCATTTATTCTTTTGCTATTGTAACACTCAATTATTGCTGATTTAAATTGTTTTAAATATCTGATATGACATTTAACCTATAGATCATTCCCACTGTTTTTTATATATTTTTATCATTATGCTTACATATTTATTTTTCTGAATGAATTTTATAATACTTTTGTCATTTTTCCAAAATAGCCCAAAGAAATTTGATTGGAAAGTTTATCAAACATGAATTTGGAAAGAAGATACATCTTTATAAAATTTGTTTTTCTTATCTAAGAACACATTGTCTATTCAACTTCTTAAGTCTATTTTATATCTCTCGATTAAAATGTTATAGTTTTCTTTATAATGTATATTCCTCATAGAAAGTATTCGAATGAATTATGAAAATTATTGTGAATGAAATTTTATTTTTCCATTATAGTTCATTATTTTTCTTTTGTTTCCCCTTCTTTCCTTCTTCCCCTACTCCCTCCTTCTCTTCCTCTTTCTCTCTCTCTCTCCCTCTCCCCACCTTTGCCCTATCCTTCCCTCTCTTTTCTTTATTTTCTCCATAGGTAAATTTAATTGTATTATAACATACATATAGAAAATTAGAAATCACAAATATTCATTATACCAAATATTTTAAATTAAACACACCCTTGAAACCAGCACACAGATCAAGAAATGGAACATTGCCCCTTTCTAGTCTTTAGTCCCCACTCACTAGAGTAAACAATATCCTCATTTATAATACCATAAACTAGTTTTACCTTTTTATGAAATTTATATAAATGGAATCATACAGTTTGATCATGTTTTTGGGTCTGTCCTCTGTGATATTGTTGAATCTGGAAAATGCTAAAGAATCAATAACAGTATTATCTCTACAATAAAATAATTTAGTATGGCAACGGAATATAAATTAACATTCAGAAATTAATAGCGTTCATATATATTGCATTATAAATAAATAACATAACCACACTGAAAGGGATAAGAAAGAATAGAACTAACCTAAGTAACTTTTGGAAACAGTGTTTTGATTGCATATTCTAAGGCTAAAGACAAAAAGAACTTTGCACACATATTATACTCTAGTTAAAGATTTGTTTTTTCACAGAGGAATGAAATTGCAGTTGTGAAATTACTTTATGTGTATTTTCAGACTGGGT